CTCCATATCCTTGTGCATGGGCACGCTGGTGTTCTCCACGTCGCGCTCGTCTTGGGAGCTGCTGTGACACTTGTCGGTCCAGTTCGTGCTAGTTTGAGACTCCAGCATCATGCTTTCCTCGGTGTAAGATTTCGTCATGTTGGAACTCTACAAAGCGATAAATAAAGCCTTTAAACATCCATTCAATCACATTGTTCTGTATTATCTTTAAAATGAGAGCCATGCAAGCCTTAAACAATGAAATGCACTACGCTGCACATTGAAAACGCAACAACACATGACCTGTGGATGAATCATAGCGGCTTGCTTTATGCAGCTTTATTATGCAACATCATCAGTGTTTCCTAATCAGATAGAGTCCTTGTTGTTCATTTTGAAGTATGAAGGAATTTAATAAGAAATATATATAGGTCTTTTTATTCCATAGATATTCAGAAACAAAATCTAATTTCTGGTTAGATTTTAAATAAATTCGTATGAATGTAGTCTGAATTCTCATCAGTAAATTGGTATTACCTTCCTGCTTAACGAGAATGAACAGCAAGATATAACTAGTTTTGAATTGTATTCTTAAAAGCAAGTATCGTACAGCATAAGTTTAGACATTAAGAATTTAAAAAAAGTATTAATTAGTGCATTTACAGGATTTTTATATTTTTTTGCCCTGCAAAAAATGTTTTCATTATGTTAACAGCATCACATTTTTACTTAATTTTCATCATTTGAAAAGCGCAATTAACTTGTCATTGCAAGCTGGCACTTCTTCACTATTTAATGTAACAATTAATTTGCGTTTTCAGTAGAATGATTTGTGGGTTTTACGAAGTATATGCTTCATCATAGTGGATCAGTTATGCAAAATATATGCCGTTCAAAATTAAACGTCTGTTCATCTGAGTTTATCACAACAGCAACTTAAGAATGATCTGAATGATATCGAGCTTTTTGTCAGTTCAACATAAATACAGTATGTCAAATACCGACTGTATTATTAAAGAAAGAAACGTGACATACCTAGGATTTGTTGAATGTCTTGTTATGACAGTTTCATGCCCCTCGTGGTGGTGTGGGAAGTCCTGCGGATTGAAGCCTAATGTGGCTGCGCCGATGGGATGCTCTGGTTATATAGCGGTGCTGCTGATGCTGGAAGATGCGAGTGGATGTCTGTCTGTGGCTGCCTCTACAGTCCCACCCTGCGCCCGTGATTGGCATCTAGCCCCGCCCCTTCGCCCGGCACGCGCCATATGGCCGACTACGTCAGGAAAACGGCCTCAAGCGTCACGTGATCTCTTCCATTTGTATTCGCCAGAGCTCCGTATTCCGTCCCTTTGTGGCCGAAAGAAAGTGGCCATCTGTCGCCAGTTAGAGACTCCGTGGACCTGTTTGTACCCGCAGGATGGATTAACCCTTTCAAGCGTGGGACACATTCAATCACGACCGGCTCTTTCTTTAGCTACATCCCGTTGTCTTAATGCGGACAACCCTTCGTGCGTGTCCATAAATTAGCTCGTAATCACTCAGTAGGTTTTGTCACTAATTATCAGTGGAAATAGGGACTTTTGTTTGTGAAAACTAACTTGTATTCTAACTTTTGTGTTTTTTCTATTAGTTTTTTTTTAATGTAAGTACTGATACAAAGTGATACATATGTAGGTCGCTTCCTGTAAGCTTTCTTTAACGCTTCCTGTAAGTTTAGTAAGTGTATTTGACCTTTAATGTCCTCTGCTTAAACCAACAGACCTTTCCTCAGACTGGAAGAGTGGATCCAAACCAAATCTCTCTCTCTGCTTGAATGGCTCTCCCGACTGAATAAATCCCTATCTCTTATTTCATTGCGAGTTGGTCTAATTAGGCCTACTTATGCAAAAATGCAGATTTCTATTAATTAGTTTGTCCGCTGATTAGTTCTGTGGTATTTTGGAGCAATAAATCATGCAGAGGCTCTGGTTTTGGCTTGTGACCCATCTGTGCAGCTCTGTGGATTCTGTGTTTCTTTAGTTCAAGGGCTCGTTTGGGTTGCAGGTAAGGCCACCTGCTGCATATGGGGCCAGTACGGCCTCTCGAGGCGGTCTGCTGCTCTCTACAACAGAATTCACACGCATTTAACAAGAAAATAAACGGCTAACACCGGTAAAATAATTTCCTTTAACAAGTCATTAATGTTATATAGCCTAATAAAAAACATAAAGTAGATCATGCAACGAATATACTCATCTAGCCTATTTGAACTAGTGATCTGTGTGGCATGTGTGTTATCTAATGAAATAATGATTATTAATGTTAAAGTTATTAATTAAAAGTGCTTGTGTATAAAATATAAAAAAATATATATATTTAAAACATTTGTATTCATGTTTAACAAAAACAAATGTTTTTGCACCAGAGTTCTACGAATTAGAAATAATTTTGTTCAGGCCTAAATGTTTTATTTAGCAAGCATTTATGAAATACATTTCCAGATTATGTACAAAGATGAAACAGTATAACGTTGGCTTTCACCTTATTGCATTTAGCGTAAGTGTACTGTAAATATATTATGGGTAACACTTTACTTGAAGAGGTGTGCATAAGACTGACACGACACCTTCATAATCATGACATGACACATGTCATGAATATGAAGGAGGTTTTATGCATGTTTATGACAACTGTCATTAAGTGTCATTCGCTCAGTTGTCATTTTTAATGCAAATATGACATTATTTGACCTAACCCTACCCCTGCCCTTAGCCCTAACCATAGCCCATAACAAAGACATCTCAAACAATGTCATCTTTGCATTAAAAATTACATAACTGTGCGAATGACACTTAATGACAGTTGTCATAAACATGTATAAAAACCCTTCATATTCATGACATGTCTTGTCAAGATTATGTAGGTGTCATGTCATGATTATGAAGGTGTCATGTCAGTCTTATGCACACCCCTTCAAGTAAAGTGTAACCATATTAATGTTATTTAAAATGCTTATAGTCGCATTTTACGTTTAATATTCATTTCACTGGAACCCTGTGTATGTGTATGAGATCGGAGCTACGATTCTGAAGAGTCTAATCATGGTCACGAGCGCCATCTTCTGATTAAATTGAGAAACTACACTGATAAACGGCAAGCAACATTGAATTAAATGTGAAAATTTGAATTAGACTGTAATAGTGTTTTCTTGTTAAATGTAATCTAATTATATTTGTTTTATTTACAACTTAGAAAAAATAATTTGTTACAGTCTTTTTCAAAATGTCTGTATGTAAGGTTAAATGATAGAATATTTGAAATTTATGAAATATAGGCCTACTGATATAATATTATATCATTTATGCATTACATTTCCTATAAAAGATATTTATATTTATAAAATACATTTGTCCTGAGAATACAGTTCAACCTTTTATTCATGCAACAGCTGTTAAAAATATGCTGATGTTGAAATTTTCATTTGAAGGGTACAATGATTGTAATTTAAAAGAGTTTTAGAGGTGTTTGAAACATAAGAGTCCACTGCTAGAGCAAACAAACATTTGCAAAATTTGACTATTGACTCAAAACCTTACTAAATTCATTAAATAAGGTCTAGTCCCTGTGTGACGACTATCCTGGCCTCCCCTACCTCAATAATCTCGAACACCAGTTTTACTATTAAATATACTGTGTTTGTACTTCACAAGCAAACATTTTAAAGGTCACCAGCGTTATTTGAGCAGTCCAAAAATTCTAGCAAACTCATACAGTTCTGCAGTTTTATAGCATATGTTGCCATTTCCATGAGTAGTGTTTTACGTTGCATTTAAGATGAAACCTATCCAGCATTGTAAATTCTGCTTATGAAATACTGAAGTGTATTATGTATTTTAGGGGGGGCAGATATGCTCTACTCATGTATCATATTTGGAAACATTTAGGATTCATAATATCAAAGGGATAACCATTGTTGTGCACCTCTGAGATATATTGCTTCAGAAATACTGACAGTGGTCCATAAATCAAGTTGTAACCATCCACTGGGTAATAAGATGAATACAATACCTCTTCCCATCTGTTTTATTTGCAAAAGAACAGTAATTAAGATTCCACTGAGAAATGTTGGCAATACAATTGAATCGAATTAGCAATTACTTCAATTTTGCTGAAACAAACAGGTATCACTATAGGCAAATTTCAGCAGTCTTATTTTTTGCTAAGCATTCCTTGTGAATTATTCTGGAGCACTTAACATAGACTGAAGCAACTACATTATAAAAGTTTTAATATGTGTCTGTTTAAAATATTTTCCCTTCTGGAAACACAGCTTGGTGTGTTATTCTGTTGACTTACAACAGCTCGAGTGGTGTTGTAAATCAGCTGCCTCCTTTTCAGCTGTAGATTTTATGCGTTGACCATCATGCAGGGTTAGTGAATAAGATCAATTGTGGCTTCATAGTCTCATGGTTAGACGTCTATCACAGGTGCTTCATCACAAATGGATTGGTCGGTTAACCACTTCCTTGCCTTGCTTAGTGATGTAACTTCCTTTTGAGCTGATCCACAGACACCTGCTGTTAGTTGTATGACAGGTTTAGTTTTTCTCATAAAGACATCTTTACTTTGTTTACGCTTACAGGAATCTTGTTGATCAATAACCAAAACAGCTGAGACTTAAAAAAAATAATAATCTGAAAATGCATTTTGTACTTACATTCATTCTTGGATATTCATAGTGTAATGTTGTAATTAAAACAAAGATTAGCCTATTAGCATATATGAACGTTTAATGCAATGTATTATTTGCCTCTTTTTTTTTAAGTGAAACTTACTAGAAATGTCTGAGTGGAAAAAAACTAACATTTTAGAACACTTTATTTTCAGTGTTACACGTAGATTTCACATTGCAAATGCCAGGTGTGACTGTTATTGAGAAATCAGTTTTGGATCAGGTAGGAGTGGTGCACTGCATATCTTCTTCCAGCAGGTTTCAGGCCAGGCATATTTTTGGGCTCTGTCTCGCCCATGTTGTTACTTTTCACTATTTTTTTCCGGAAGCGGAAGCATTGTACTTGAAGTTTTGGAATAGTTTTGCCAGATGATTCAGTGCGCTAGATACTTTCTAACTATCAGCGCGCGGTCATCATCATGTCCTGTTGAGATGGTAAGATGTGTTTTTCTGCTATTTGAGGTGCTGGTACAGTCGCTTTCTCTAGTGTTTGTTTTTAATCTTGCGCGTTATTATGCATTAGCCTGTGGATTGGGGTTGTTTTACGCGCAGATGCGCACTGAAAAACAGATATTTAAGTGCTCGTGCTAGTTTAATGCGTAATGTGGCGTTTCAGAAGTTTATTTACTGAGTCGAATGGAGTTGTTTTGCATGCGCGTATGATTGAAACAGTGTATTAGTATTCATATTCTGGAAAAGCAAAGTGAAGGGAACGTTTGCGCTGTAATAAATTGGGCTTCTAGATTCGGGATAACAGTTGTGCAACTAATGGGATGAGGTTACAGTGAAGTTTTTTTCTTAATTTTTTGGTTGAATGCCTCCTTTGGTTGACACTGATGATCATGGTTATGATTGTGGGTCATGTCAGTGTCACCTGCTTCATTCTCCTGTTTAGGTCTGGAAAGCGACCAAAAGTAGAGTTCATAGCCTTATTAGATCATCTTGATTTGCTTGAGCTTTTGTGATGTTTATTGAAATGATAATGACATGCTTTTCAAAGTTGATACTCTAGTATCTCACTTATTACATTCTTGATCCATTAAGAATCAGGCTAGATGACTATAAAGACAGTACTCATTTAGGGCCACCCAGAGAGCTCACCTAAAGTGGTAGGCTTTATGCTTGTGTTTACGTTATGTTGACCATCCCAGATTACATCTTTTTTTTTTTTTCTGGAAAATGTATTTCATTTGATCCATTGTGCTGTTAAGAGAAGCTTATTTTTTAGACTGGTGATTCTCAAACGTGTTCTTAAAGTGGACCACCTGAACAGTAAAACAAATATTGCAGACCACTTAACATCTTAAATCTGGGGAAAACTACCTCAGAACAGTTACATGCAGTTTTATGTAATGTAAAAATAACTTTGTACAATATATCTTGAAATAGCCTTTCACCAATTCAGTGTTGCCGGAAGCTGGATCCAACATTTTACACTGACTGACATATAACTGTCAGTTATGTTAATTAAGTAGGCCTATTGTCAGTTATGTTATTAAGTATTTTGGATCAGTTATTTATTGTTATTAGTTAATCACTTGATTAATTAAATGTTGGTGCTTCCGATCAATTTGTTATTTTATTTATGTAAACTACTGTTCAAACGTTTAAGGTCGGTACTTTTATTTACGAGTGATGCATTTAATTAATCAAAAGTGACAGTAAAATTTTTTTAAAAATGTTACAGAATTTGATTGATTTATTTTCAAGTAAATGCTATTCATCAAAGAATCCTGAAGAAACTGTATTATGATTTTCATGAAAATATAACACAGCTCAACTGTTTTCAACATTGATAATAAGAAGAAATGTTTCTTTAGCAGAATCTCAGCATATTAGAATGATTTCTGAAGGATCATGTGACACTGAAGACTGGAGTAATGATGCAAATTCAGCTTTGTCATCACATGAATAAATTACATTTTAAAATATATTAAAATGTTATTTTAAATTGTATTGATATTTCACAGTATTACAATATTTACTGTATATATGTTTATATTTACTAATCATTAAAATGCTTCACTGACAGCAGTTTGACAACCACTTTTTTTTCTATTTTTTTACTGATCTCAAGCCATAACCATTGTCAGGTATTTCTAATTTAGTCTAGTGGCTCTCAAATCTCCTTAAAAGTTCACTCCACTCTCTCGTGTTCGTGACTTTTCCAAAGTTTTATGTGAATATTGAAAGTAGGGTAGCTCTGTTCTATGCAAACATAAAGGCAGGAGTGCTGTCTTCTGGGTGTCTTCAGATAACATTGGTCAGGTGTAAACACAGCTGACATATGAGTGTGTGTGTAAAAGAGAGTGTGTTTGAGCAAATGAGAGATACTGGTGTGTATTTACAGAGATATCAGGGGTGAATCCATGTTGTCGCATGATTTACTGCATTCCTGCCCCAGGGAGAGACAGTGTAAACACGTTCATAAAAGAAAAGTTCATCCAAAAACAAAACCATCCCAAAAATTACTCGCCACTGTAGATTTACAAATATAGGAATAGACTGAAGTTTAAGCTGTCATCGACTGCAAGAGCTCTGAAAACTCATTTGCGATTTTTGTTATTCAAATTTGCTGCATTGCAATCAGTAAAATTTCCATTTGCGTGAACTATCTCTTTAACAAGAGAAATCAGCATTAGTGGTTAGAAAAGTAAGCCGCGTTTTTGTGTTAACAGGTCTCGAGTTGCTTTTTGTGTAAAATGTGTCACGCTAACTAAACAAAAGGTGTGGTCCTTAGCAAAGTACTGTTATTTACAATGGAAAGTTAGATTATATTAAAGTGAACCATTTCCATTGATGCCTTTGAAACAGTCACTGCAACTACATATTGCATTTCCTTCCCAGGTCTAGATGCCATCTCGATTAGTTTGGCTTAATGCCTGCTGTTTCAGATCCAAGGAACAATTGTCTAAGCCAGGGCTGTCCAAACTCGGTCCTGGAGGGCCGGGGTCCTGCAGAGGTTAGCTCCAACTTGCCTCAACCCACCTGACTGGAAGTTTCTATGCCTAGTAAGAGCTTGATTAGCTGGTTCAGGTGTGTTTAATTAGGGTTGGACCTAAACTCTGCAGGACACCGGCCATCCAGGACCAAGTTTGGACAGCCGTGGTCTAAACCATCAGCTGTAATATTTCCATATTAGACATGCAAAACTGTTGTTATGTGCCGACTGCGGATGCTGTGTTATTGGTACATAATGAAGAAGGAAAGTCTTTCACATTAAAGCAACACAGACTGAAGCAGGTTCGAAAGTTTTCTGATGTGTTTCTGATTGCATTTTTGTCTCATGCTTTGCTTCACCGAAGCATCTTACAAATAGCTTAATGCAGGAGAAGAATGGTTTGTTTTTCTGCCCCATGCATAAAAACAAACCAGAAAAGGTCCTGTGGGGCTAATATGAATGCTATCGGGGGGCTTTATCCACAGGAAATGAATTCAGCTAGGGACCTGAAACAGACCTCAAGAGAAAGGCTTCAAAGAGACACGAGGGAAATGACACTGTTGTGTTGTACAGTTTACATTACTCGCTCAATAATTGTTAGTAAGATGAGGGTTTAGTAAATACTCCATAAACCCCATGAAATGGTATGACTACAAGCACAGACTACAAGAAAAGCACACTTTTCTTTTTGGATGTATTGAAATTGAAGTTTTGACAAGGTTTTTGTTTAATGGCCAGTAGGCCATGAGTCATGATTTGCTACTTGTTAATGCTAGTCAAATGTAAAAGCAGTGATATTCTCATTCTAGAAAGCTAAAAATGTATACAACCACGAGTGTGTCAATATATTTGGTTAATTTTGATATTCATATTTGAATGTATATCGACTACCATACAAATGTTTCGGGGCAGACTCCGTAAAGAAAAAAAAATGGTGTCTTTATTCAGCAAGCAAGGATGCATTGCTCAAAAGTGAGAGTAAATACATTTATAATGTTATAAAAGATTTATATTTCAACTAAATGATATTCCTTTTGAACATTCTATTCATCAAAGATCCTGAAAAAATGTATCATGGTTTCCACAAAAATATCAGGCTGTACAACTGTTTTCAACATTAATAATGATAATCAAAAATGTTTTTTAAGCACCAAATCTGCATATTAGAATGATTTCTGAAGGATCATGTGACACTGAAGACTGGAGTAATGATGCTGAAAATTCAGCTTCGTCATCACAGGAAAAAACAAGCATTTTAAAATATATTAAAACAGAAAATAGTTATTTTTAAATTGAAATAATATTTCACAGTGTCATTTGATCAAATAAATGCAGACTTGGTGAGTATAAGAGACGTCATGTCAACTTTTAGTAGTATATTACTGTATATATGACTTCAGGGCTAAGACACATCACTCACAGTTTTCTACATTTAGATGACAGTGATCCTGACAGGTGAGACATTTTAGGACAGTGAGAACTAGTTTACATGGTCTCAAAAGCTTTTAGCCCCAAGGCTAGCACTTTCTAAAGCAAAACAGAGCATGTTATACCCCCTTTACTGTGGGAAAATCAGAGTAAAGCTTATTGCTTTCATAAAATGTGATTACATTAAAAGGATAGTTTACCCCAAAGTGAAAATTCTGTCATTATTTACTCAACCTCATGCCATTCAAAACCTGTGTTACTTTCCTTTCTCTTTGAAACGTAAATACTAGGCCTGTCGCAATAATCAATATATTGACTTATCGCGCAGTATATGTACATGACCTCAATCATTTTTTGTGATGCAATATATCGGCCAATATATTTACTTAAAAATTAATGTCACCATGTTTTGTACATTCCAGTTGTGCCTGTGTCTTTTGCAGCTTCTTGTACATAAAGTGGTGTAGTTGGTGCTAGTTCAAATTTAAAAAATGCTTCTACAAAAAAAGTTTCATCTGCAGATATGGTCTTGTTTAGGGGTCTGTGCCTTTGTGCATACAGACATCTGACTGCTAAGTAGTGATTGTGTTTTTCAGCAATAGTGTGCAACCTCAATTTACAGAGAAAAGGTCAGGGAAAAATCTGTAGATGGAAAAATCTCCATACAAGTTCTTTGTGCATTTTTCTTTTTTGTTTATTTAATATTTATTCCGTTTTTTTTAAGCTATCTAATATTTTGATGATCTAAATACTCTTAAAAATGAAAAGTCTGTTGTCATTTGGAAGTGTGTAGGCCTTCTTGCATTATTATGCTGTTACATTATGATTATATATTCAGTGGCATAAAATGGTCTTTAAAATGCCAATAATATCGCTTATCGCAATTATTTCTGGGGCAATATATCGCACAACAAAAAGTTGTTATCGTGACAGGCCTAGTAAATACAGAATGTTTGGAACACATTTTTTTTATTGTCCATATACAATGGAAATCAATGGAGCTCAGTGTTGTTTGGACAGTTCTGATGACAGAATTTCATTCATGTGTAAACTTTCCCATTAATGT